TCAGCACCCCGATCTTGACAGCCATGCGGGTCTTGCTACCCCGCGCGCATCCTTCTACCAATCTTCTCCGCGAGCTGCTCCAGGAGCTTGCGCTTGTCTGGGCAGTCGCCGCCGAGCTCCTCCATCGCCGCGTCGAAGGTGGCGCTGGAGAAACCGCTGAGGTCCTCAGGCTGAACGGCGTCGTCATGGGACCCTGCGGCTGCCTCAGGCTGGCTGGCTTCCTCAGGACGAGGAGTGGCTGGAGCAGGGACAAGAGGGACCACTTCGACCCTGGGCTGGTCGTCGACCAGCGTCGAGAGAAGCTCCTTGAGGGCAGCACCTGCTTCGCCGAGATCCACTCCCTCGATCTTGGTCTCCACCAGCTTGGCCAGCTTCGCGCGCTTGTCCACCATGCTGCGGACCTCACTCGGCTGGGGAACGACTCTTGGGACTGCTCCACCTTCCCGCTGACGTTCCTGCTGCTCCAACTCCTGCTTAGCTTTTGCCACAGCCACGCGCAGCTCCTGCTCCAGCTGCTCCACGTACTTCTTCTGCTTGACCGCCTCCAGGAGGGCCTCGGCAGCCAGTCGATCCTTAATTTCTGCATCCTGCTGTGCTGTCTAGAGCTTCTTGCCAGCCTCGTCCGCCTTGACCTGCGCGCTCTTGACTGCCGTGCAATCCGACAGAGAGCCCAACTCTTGCTGCAGCTGGAAACGGGCCTGTCGTAGTGCATGATGATCAGAGGGCGACAGGCTCGCGGGGGCGAAGATCGCGAAGTCCTCGGCGCTGAGTGCGGGGAACCGCTCCCGCACGGCGTCGGTGAGCTTGATGAAGCCAGGCCCGCCACCAAGCCCACCTCCTCCGCGTCCAGGGGCTCCGCGCTCAGGCCCACGCTTATGCCATGGATATTCACCTTGTGGCGGCCCGTCACGCCATCGCCCCAAAGGGCCGCGAGCACCGCCACCGCCACCAGGTACATGATGAGAAGGCCGATACGCCAGACAGCCAGGCTGCCTGCACTGCTCGCGCCAACCCAAGTTCTTGTAGCCACATGTAGTGCACCTCCAGCACGTTGCTGCCCAGCCTGGCTTGCCGCTGCCCAACGCCCGAAGCGCCATGGCCGCCGCGCGCACTGCCAGGCTGCCAAGCAGCCTTGCCTAGCTCGGGGAACAGAGCTATCCCGCTTTGGCACGAGGGCGCGGAAGCCCCCTGGTGCAGGCATCTTGAGCCAAAATGGCTACGGAGAGGAGAAACAGGAGGAGTAGGTGAACAAGGGTAACGGCGTTCCGGGGATAGTCTCCAAACGCAGGCAGCGGCAGGAGGAGAAGGGGGATCGCACGTGGCTCTGTCTTGCGCCTCGAGGGAACGCGCTCCGGCAGAGAACGCCTCGAGGTGCGCGCTGTAAGCTTACGCCGCTCCAGTGGAGCGGGCGCGAAGTCTGTGCTGCATTTTTGCAAGCGAGAGTGGGCAGCCGGAGGGCGCACTCCCTGGTGGTTTCCCCTGAGTGCTCCTTCTTTTCTTCCACGCTGAGACGGGCAACCACGGCTTGAGGAAGAAAATAACGAAACAAGGCGACGAGGTGCAGCAGGCGAGGGAAGAAGAGGTAATGGGCGATCGAACCCGGTTCGCTCGCGCATCCAAGCACGCACCCCCCGCTGGCCCAAGATGTGCGTTCGTTGGGTGGTGACCAGCCCGCCCGCAAGAATTCCCAACTCAGACCAGGAACCGTTGGGCGGGATTTCGCTAGCACCTCTTTCAATACGTGCCATCGGAGTGCCACAGTGTGGATCAGCAAATCGGGATGTCAGGCCTGCGCGCGTTTGAGCAATGCCAAATGCAACCTATCTGGGTACAGTTCACGGGTGAAGGAACAAGTCTCCACCCCTTTGAAACGCGGGTGCTTTTGAAACTCCTCGGCTCCCCGGCAACGATACGCTGGGGGCCCTGGGGGACCTTCGGGGCCCCGATAGAGTGGGCTCGGTCATGCAAGAGCATGACGATGGTACTCGGGTCACGCCAGGACGGCGGGGACCAGGGCTGCTGCACATGGCGCGCAAGCTTTGTGTAGCGCACAAGTTTTTTGTGGTCCAGCGAAGCTTTCACGAACTCCGTGCGTTACTCGGGCCACTGTACTTTGGTCGATTTCGCCGTGCGCCAGCTTGTCGCAGCAGCGTATGCCTTGATAGAGGTGGGCATGGACCCAGGCGCCCAGGTTCGTAGAGACCAGAGGTCGGGGCCAGAGACAGGGCGGAAGCTTCAGGGGCTGTAACATCTGGCCACGTAGCCCAACGTGAGGAGAATCGCAAACCAGTTCAGACGGAGGGAGGAGTCGGGAGGAGCGTCGGAGGACGAGGTCTTAAATATTCTCTCGCGCCACTTTTGCGTGCAGGCGGCCCATTGCTTGTCGTTCGTGGCTTCGGGTCCGAAGTGCACTCCGAGGTATTTGGCCTGCCCAACGACAAGGACAATGAAGGATCCCCCGAGGAGGAGGAGGAGGAGGAGGAGGAGGAGGAGGAGGAGGAGGAGGAGGAGGAGGAGGAGAAGAAGGAGGAGGAGGCAGGACATAACAAAACACTGCACGCGCATCTGCTATCACAGCTTCTGTGCATCCTGCCCAGAGCGGGACCAACATGCACTTAAAGAGATGGTGGTGGAGCGAGGCGAAGCCCGAGGCAACGGAGAAGGCAGGGGCGAGGAGAGCGAGGTACACACTCTTGCCGAACATGGCGTCGGATGTCGTCGGCAAATCCTCCGAGGAGGAAGAGGATGATGATGAGGAGGAGGAGAGAGATGAGGTGGAGGATCTCGTCTTCCTCCTCCTTATCATCCTTCCCCCTCGGCGCCACCCCGACGGGTACTCGCCCAGGTCTCTAAAAGAAGGCCAGGGTAGGTGGGGGCGGTCGATCGCGCCGTGTTGTCGATGCATCAGCGATGCGGCGCGATCCCGAGCCCGATCTTCGTCGCCCCTAAGTCACGAGGCGCGGGTGACCTGGGGGGCAATGAAATTTGAGGAGTAGGACTTCTTATCCACTCTTAGACTTTTGGCCTCCTTGCTTCATGGCTTTAAGCGTCGGGCTCATGGCCGGTAGCTTCCTACGGAGGCTGCGGATTTGGAGGGGGGGTTCTTTGCTCACGCCTAGCCCGTTCTGCGTGCGGATTGCCCCCTGTCCGTCCGTGTCTGTCTGTCCTTGGTCCGTCCGTCCGTGTCTGTCTGTCCCTGTCCGTTCGTGGTCGCGTGCACCAGGGGGCTTGGTGGGCCCTGCGCGCGCTACGCAGGCGCGCAGCGGGCCCTACGGGGTCATGGGGTGCGCGTGCGCATCGCTTCTCGCGGCGCTGCCGCTGGCCACGGCGCACGAGTGCTCTCTGGCTGCTTTCCCCGCCCACCCGCTTCCTCGCGTTCCGCTGGTTGGGTGCCCTGGAGGCTTCCCAGGGCGGCCCCAGCCAGCTGCACGTAGATCTGTTGCCTATTGCACGTGTGGGAACGCGTGACTGTGGGATGCGAAGAATTCGCCGGCCCAACGGGCCAGAGGCGTGCTAAGATCTCCGGTAACTACTTAACAATACTTCTAGTTCGCGCGCGCGGGGCGGCCCCTGGGGGGCGCCGGGCGAAAAGTACCCCGGCCGATCCCCGGCTGGGTCCCGGGCGATCCCCACGGGGGGGGGGGGCTATTTTTCGCCACCCCTCACGAGGATCGTGGCCCCCGAGGGCGGGGCTGCAATCGACTACCCACCCCCCCGCCCCAAGGGGCCCCCAAGAGCCCCCCGAGAGCCCCCCAAGAGGCCCCAGGGGGGCCCAAAACGCTGCCAGGGAGCCCCAAGACGCTCCCAAGAAGCAGCGCTCCAGGGCCGGCGGAATGAGCGAAGCGATTAAATAATTTGATGCATCCCGACGTCGCCGATGCATCAGTGATGCAGCGCGATCGCCGGACCCCATCTGCTCCTTCTCCCTCGGCGCCACACTGATGGGTACTTAGTCTTGCAGAACCCCAAAGGGACGTACGCACGTACGCACCCAGCCACGTGCATAAACATTCCCCCCCAGTTCGCGAGGCCGCCCTGACGCTACGAACGCTTGCGTAATGCTTTCTCTCGAAACCAATGTGAATTCGTGTGCGCGTTTGTCTCTGTGCCACAGCTGGTCAGGAGACCATTGCCTTGGATCGGAACACGCAGGCGGCGCCCCTCGCAGCGTTCCTGCGCCATCCCGCGCGACAGTGGCGCCCTTCTGCCACAGTGTACCCATCTCGGTGGCACTTCCCCCCCGTCAGGACGAAGGCAAGATGAGGACCACTTCGGATGAGGATGAATCGGGAATCTCTGAGAGACGGCAAGCCTGGACGATGTATACGGGGGGGCGCCGCAGCCGTTGGGGCGACCTCTGAGAACGTTCCGCATCGTCCTGGAGCGGTCCGCCCGCATCCTGGGCCTGCCGGACCTTCCCTGGACGAAAAATTAATGACATGAATCTTGATTCTCGGAGCTCTGAACGGATTTCGTGGATCTTGCTCGACCCTCTTCCCTAGTGCGCGGAGCGCGTCAAGGCCGGCGCCTGTGGTGACGCCATGGGGGCTCCAACGCGGATCCACGAACTCCCCGCAGAGTTCCGAACATCTATGTTTGGGTTGGTCTTCGGATTCGACTTCCGCCCCTCCCGATCCAGACATCCCAGGACAGACAGCAACCTGGGCAGGAACGTGGGCCGCTGGGCCCCCGCTGGGCTCGAAGGTTGGACAATCGTGTCGCCTACTGCCAAGGCGAGGCAGGGATCCGAGACCCTCCGCCCGTACTGGGGGGCCGGGCAGGCCAGGATGGGGGAGAGGAGTTCGTTTGAGCCCTCTCGGCCGCGGGCGCCTGCTCGATCTCTCCTCGGGAGGAGGAAGAGGAGGAGGAGGAGGAGAAGGAGGAGGAGGAGGAGGAGGAGGAGGAGAAGGAGGAGGATGAGGAGGAGGAGGAGGAACGTCTGACCACGTGGATCCTCCTCCTCGGACTGGCCTCCTTTTCCACGGACGCCCCCCCGGGGCCTGCGGGGAACTCCTCCTCCTCGCCCTGGCCAGGCGCCACCTTCACGGTGGCGAGGCAGAGCTGCGAGGGCGCCACGGGGCTCGCCCGCCGCTGGCCCCCGTCCCCCGCGTAGCTCACGTAGACCTCCTGCCCGCGCACGGAGATGGTCCCGGGGGCCTCGAAGTCGCCCCCCTCGAAAGGCATAAACATCAGCGGGGCCTCCATGGCAGGAGAAGAGGGGTGGGGAGGTGCTGATGATGATGATGACGATGATGATGATGCTGATGATGCTGATGATGCTGATGATGATGATGATGATGATGCTGATGACGGTGCTGCTGCTGCTGAGTATGATGATGATGCTGATGATGGTGATGATGATGATGCTGGTGATGATGATGATGATGCTGATGATGATGATGATGGTGATGCTGACACTGCTGCTGATGATGCTGGCGATGATGATGATGATGATGATGATGATGGTGATGCTGATGGCTATAATGATGATGACGCTGATGATGCTGATGATGATGATGATGAGGATGTTGATGCTGAGGACGATGCTGGTGATGATGATGATGATGATGATGATGATGATGATGATGATGCGGCTGGAAGCGATGATGCTGTTGACGTGTACTATGATGAAGCTGATGGTGATGCTGAAGATGAAGATGATGATGATGATGATGATGATGATGATGATGATGATGATGATGCTGATGATGATGATGATGATGATGATGATGATGCTGTTGATGTTGATGCTGCTGCTGCTGATGATGATGATGCTGCTGCTGATGATGATGATGATGCTGATACTGATGAGACTGAGATGGATGATGATGCTGATGATGCTGATGATGATGGTGTTGATGATGATATTAATGATGCTGCTGATGATGATTCTGGTGATGATGATGAGGAGGAGGAGGAGGAGGAGAAGGAGAAGGAGCCGCCGACCATATCCCCACCCTGCGTATCGCCGTCCCAGATGACGAACGGCAGTGGCCTCGGACAGGGAGGCGAGCCAGTGCAGGCCATGCCCCAGCAAGCTGTCCCGCCCCCCCCCCAACCTAAGCCATCACTACCAAACCGAGATGGAAACTTTCCAGCCAGAACCGCTCCCTCTACTGCGACAACAGAGATCCCACACGAGCCACCGCCAGCACAGGCTTCACTGAGGCCCCCGACGGGCAAGGGCACGGCTATCGTCTACGACGGGGCGACAACTCCAGTCGAGGAGTCACACATCGGCATCAGATCAGGCACTACAGGTCCCAGACCTCGAGCACGACGCCATCGGCCGCCTGACCAACACGATCAGTAGCATACAGCAAGACCGCACCACGCCACGTTTCAAGATTCACGTCCACAAGCTTATCAAGGAGGCCATCGAGGGGATCAACAACCCAGAGGCGCTCTACCACTGGAACGCCGACCCGTACGCGATGCACCGAGCAGAGTACGACCAGGTAGTGTCGTACTTTCCAGGATGCCTAACAACTACTTGGGCGAGGCTACTAGTCCACCTGTCAGCAATTTCGAGATGCCCGGCAACCAGAATCTGCTGACCCGTTCCATCGTCCACCAGCTGTGCACCACACCTCGTACCCAGTGGCCGACGGCCGAAGGGACGCACCAACCCCACACCACGCACGAGTGGAGCGTGAGGACGCTCTCGCCTACATCAAGCTGGGGATACGGTACAATCCAACCGACACCCCGACGCCATTTGCGACGCCTGCCTTCCAGAAGGACGTCGCCAACCACCTGTTCGACAGAACGAACGGCTCCTCAACAGCCAGGAGGCCACACGATCAGCAAGCCCACACGGCACGACCCGACCAGACACCGACAACGACGACGAGGCACCCGATCGCGAAGGCCCTCTGGGACGCCACACCACGCCACCTACAGGCACGAGCAACATCGACCCACGGGGAACGGAGCACAACTCAAACAAAGGCCCTGCCACGGGGAGCCCTGGCAACAACATCTACCGCAAGCCGCCAGCTGACCTCCTTGTCCAGGGGTTTCTGCTGACCGCGGACCCGAGAGCGGCCAGTCAACGCATTCACCAGATGGTCGAGGCGCAGTACACCCTCTGGTCTTTGCCGCAGGAAGGCGTACCACGGCGGCCGCCTGCCGCGCGGATCGTGATCACCGACAGCAGCAGGCCCGACATCCAGGACGACACCCAGGACACCAACTACCCCGCCGCTGTCTCTGGCATCCAAGCCGTCACTGACCACAGCGAGGAGGAGTACTATCCAGGCTGCGGCAACATGGGCTACGCCAAGACGACTACGACAAGAAGAGGTACGCCATCGTATTACGACCGACAGCCCCACCTTCGCGAACCCGCTCCACACTCAGCCGGGTGCCTGCAAGGACACTGCTGACGAGGCGGCATGTCCACGCCTTGCCTGAACATCATGCCTTGCCTGAACATAAGGGCACACCCCGACTTCATAATCCGCTCAACTTCTCAAGAAAAAGCCAACCCCCCCTTGACTGCTCACAACCTGGCAGACGAGGCGAACGCCACCGTCACGCCATGATGGGACCTGCCTAACAGAGGCCCACCAATGCGCCATCCCCACAATGCTACAAAATTTGCTCTCGAGGCAACAGACGGCTGAACTCTCCCACGAAGCATCAGCAGCCCTTTCCCACTTTCGATCTCGGCAGTATTCTTTTACCGCACCGCCGCACTGACAGTCGTACAGTAGCAGCAACAGCTGCACTATATCGTTCTCTCAATTTCTACCACCTGGCGACGGCACACTCCCATCTCTACGAGCACTCTCGCGGCGATCACGTCAACACAGCACTCACGGCGGGTGCACCTACAGCAAGCTATGCTATGCGGTGGGGCCACGGTCGGACAGGGCTCCCAAACCCGATGGGTTTTTCTCACCCATGTATGCTACTTAACCGACGCGATTCTCTCGTTAACGCACATCGTCCGACACATTCTTGTAGGTGTGCGGTTATACAAGGCTTCCACATCCGCCGCAGCTTTCTCACCCACAATGGTCAAAATCACCGCCAAATGATGAAGTCCTCTCACGCGCCTCGTTGGTCTCATCTTAATCCCACCGTCGTGGGGCCTCGGAGGCAGCGACACGAAGGATCCACCATCAGTTAGGCTACTGAACGCTCTCGCCCAACCTCCCACTCCCCACTGGCTGCCCACTTCCTAACTTGCACTTTCACCGCTCTTGTGGGGCGGGATGGGCTGATGAACACGGGACTGGAAAGGGGACACAACTCGCCGCGAAGGCCAGGATGGCCGTGCTCAGCAGAGCCTTCAGCACAGGCAAAGCAATCGCCTCAGCTTCCCTACAACTCCCCCCCCTCATCTTTCATTAGCCTCACCTCCCACAAGCTACTGCCGTAAGCCTCCAGCGCCAAGCACGTTGCACACTCGCAACTCTGCGCGTTTGTAACATCACCTCCTTTAGCGTACGTCATTGCTCATGCCGCCACGCCGCTGCCATTGTACTCCCACCGTGTTGCTCTAGCCCTTGCGCGGTTTCGCACTACAGTTGCGCTCTACCAACACTGGATGGGGAGGCTTTTCACTACACTCACGGCCGCTGCCAAACGGATGGAGCAAACCTCCCTAAGCCCAGTGAAAGCCCTGGTGCTGCCTCCAGTCTCTCCCTGGGAACCCTTCGCCGCCCTCGGGGGGGTGAGGGCTCCGTTGGTGGGAGTGGGGGTTGCCACCACGGGGCTTTCCATGGGCTGGGGGGGGGGGTGCCTTGGCCTTTGCCTAGTCCGCCTGGGCGAGGGTGGCCCACTGCCGCACACTGCAATTGTCGCTAACCGCATTAACGCACTATCCATCTCTCCTTCCCTTTTTTATGATGCTCTCCCCCGTTTCAAGCAGCGTCCCGCCTTCTGCACTCGAGTTGTGCGCAACTGCACGTTGGCTCTCACCATCCCATGTTGTCCACCGCCGATACAACGCCGTGCCACCCTACCAGTGCCGCTCACCTCGGCATTGGCGAGTGCGGTCACAGCGGCGCCTGCTCACCTACTCGCCCACTCCTTCAATCTTGCCGCCGCCACGGCCAGCCAACCCCCATTGCTCGCGAGCTATAGTGTGCACCGCCACTCACAGCTCTCACAATGGAGGGGAGGTGGATCAGCATGGCTGGGTGGGAGGATGCTGCCAACACAACTAAGTGGCCACCTGGGAGAGTGTGGCCTCGGCAAATTGCCAGCGCCATCGCAGCACAGCGGCGCCAGCGCCACAATCTCCACCTCGCCAGCTTATACGTTCATGCTTCACTTCCTCCCTTCCTCTCCTCGCTCGACAGATCTGTCGCTCTTATGTTGTACCCTTTACCATGCAGGTACAACCTGTCGGCAGTCCCAGTGGCATCTCCCCTGTGGCCGCCTGGCTCACTTGTTTGATCACCCCCCAGCAACGACCGCTGCTGGGGGGATGACTGCGCCAGGATGACACCAGGGCCGAGAGAACGAGAGAGAACGAGATGATGATGCTGATGCTGATGATGATGATGTTGACTATGAAAATGATGATGATGATGATGATGATGATGATGATGATGATGACGATGATGATGATGATGATGCTGATGATGATGATGTGATGATGATGATGAGGATGAGGATGAGGATGAGGATGAGGATGAGATGAGGATGATGATGATGATGATGATGATGATGATGATGATGATGATGATGATGATGATGATGATGATGATGATGATGATGATGATGACATGATACTAGGAGGATATGGAGAGAGGAGCAGGAGGAGGAGGAGGAGGAGGAGGAGGAGGAAGGAAGGGAGGAGGAGGCAGGAGGAGGAAGGAGGAGGAGAGGAGGGAGGATAGAAACGAGGAGCGAGAGGACGAGGAGGAGGACAGGGAGGAGGACGAGGGACGAGAGGGAATGAGGGACGAGGAGGAGGTAGGAGAGGAGGAGAGGGAGGAGGTAGGAGGATGAGGAGGAGAGGAGGATGAGGAGGAGGAGAGAGGAGGAGGAGGAGGAAGTAGGTAGGAGGAGGAGGGAGGAGAGAGGAGGGAGGAGGGAGGAGGGAGGAGGGAGGATGGAGAAGCCCCCTGGAAGGCACCTCGGTGTGTGGGCGGCACGTCGGGGCTCCTGGGGGATCCGCTAAGACGTCGCCTGCGCAGGGGCGGCGCCACGGGCCAGGGGCGTTGGTGCCTTGGCGGGCCTGGGAC